GAAAGAGTGCATGTGCAGTTGCATTGGCTGTGTTTTTAAAGGGCTATCAGCTCTCCTTGACAGCGATTGCAACAATTGAAAGTTACATCTTCGTATCTTGTATATGGGTGAAACCTTCCGATATTCTTCTTTGTGGAAAGGAAGGAGGATGGAGAAGTCTCAGAAAAAGAAACTTCTGTTGTTGTTTCTGTACGTGCAGCTGGATCCAGTACACGTAGCACCTAAGGATGGAAAAATTGAGACTGAAAATCTATTAAGTTTAATGGGTTTTATCCTTCTCTAACAGCTAAGAAGGATTTCTGCTCAAAAGTAATTCTTCAATTTTTTTCCAAGTTGAAAACTACCTATCCATCTATCCAGACCCTCAATATAAAGACACTAAGTACTGTTTATAAATTAATAACATCCGTCAGAAATCCAAGGTATGATTTTATTGAGAATAAAAAAAATTCTCATCTTTTTAGCAGAGTTGAGCAAAATCAGGCAAGAACACCACAAATCACTAAGCACTTGTGAGCCTCCTGCTGCTCAACTACTACTCAATTGCTTCCAGACTGAACTGTTAGTCTAGTTTGGTATTTAAACATCAAGCTTCCTGCAGTGGAACCTTATTTTGAAAGATAATCATATAGCTTCTCTCTGTGTTTCCACCCACTTCCAACAGAACTGATTTTTAGGGCAACAGAAACTACTGCTAAGTGTTATGACTTATTCCTACCTGAACTAGGTTTCTTCTCCCACTCAGTTTTTCAACTCAAGTATTTTCAGTTGGCTTCCTCCTGACACACTAACTCTAAACAAACTTTGACCCAGTTATTTGTGGTGCTACGGACAGAAGCAAACAGTATGTATCATATTATTTATGTTGTTCTGCTTATTCTTCCAGTTTTGTTTCGGGTTTTATTTGTTTGTTTGTTTGTTTTGTGTGGGTTTTTTTTTTTCTCTTTGGGGGTGTGTGGACGCGTGTGTCCTTTTCTTTTGTTAATGAGGGAAACAGACAGCTCTATTCAGCATGTTTCCCCTGCATATAGTTTTTAAAAAAAGGCAAGATATTAAGTAGTTAACACAAGGCAAGGCATTTCTTTCTGGAAAGAAGACTCTGTGCTGACAGACTGAGATGTATGAAGAGTTCTTACCATTTCAGCCATTTTCTCAGCAGGGGTATTGCAAAACTCCACAGCTGTTGAAGTCTTTTTTGGACTGTTAGTGCCAACATTTCCAAGAAGATGCGAGCTTACAGCTTTGGCTAGCTTACAATTCACAGCTGCTAGCTCTGTTGTGGTGTAAGGTTGGGCACTAGGATAGTATGTCTGTTGTCTCCCCCACTGAAGGGAAACCATCAGCTCCTCCAGCAGCCTGTGCAGAAAGGAAAAACAGCACTAATAGTATAGAGTACAAAAACCACTATCAGCACACAGTAACAGAGGAATCGTCTCTTCACTGCACAAGCCAAATGTTAACCAAAAAAGGAAGTTTAAGTGTTTAAAAACAAGGAGGCAAATAGGCTATTCTCCCAGGCAAGGCCTCACCAACACAGTATTTTAATACTCGTTAAGCTTATTTCACATCTGGCAGGATAAGCGTTAAAAAGCCAATGTGGGTAGAAGAAACTGTATGTTTTGGAAGGAGACAGAGGAGACTTAAAGTCAAGACAGTAAGTGATTGAATAGAGAAAGTCTGAGGATATGAGGGATGTCAGTTCCACAGTATATGACCCCTAACACCTCCAGGGAATGATGAAGAAAGAATTAATGCTACTTTGGCTTTTTCAGCTCCGAGACTGAAAAGCGACCGTACTATCCATCAGCATAATTGATTTTTGTTGAATACCACTGGAATAGGGGAAAGTTATTTGATTCTTCTCTGGCCTAGAATATACTGACAGAAATGAAAGTTTGCACAGAGTTAGTCTGGATTAGAAAAGTCATACTTCTGTGTATCAATCATCTCTTGACGGAACTGATCACGTTCATTCAGCAAGTCCCGGATTGCACTTTGTGCATCCCTGGTTTGACGCTGAAGAATTGCTCTGGTATTGGTTAGCTCATCAGCCATAACCCTGCAAAAGAAATCTCCAATCAGTAGTGTTAGCGAGCAGTTTGAAAGTCACCTTTATTCTACCACAGACCGTAGTTTGTCAGCTCAAACTAAGTATTAAGCTGCTGTTCTTACCCCCCTCCCCCATGCAGGGCCTATATCAACCTTATTAGAAAGGACATGTATTAAGAGGAATTTCTGTTCAACTACAGTCAACACGAGTGCAAGATTATGTTTTGACTTGCTGAGTTTAAACAATCTTATGTCACTTAATACAAATCTAGTAACAGACATTTTAAAACACCTTGAGTACATGAACATGGCGGACAAGCATCCTGACAGATAAAGCTAAACTCACTTTGTTTTACTAACACAGTTCTCACAAGTATGCTGTAATCATGTCTTTTCATACTCATCTCTAAAGATGACAGCTATGGCTACAGACTGCATTCATTCACCTCTTTGCCTTTCTCAGGGGCAATAACTAGATGTTACACGTGCCAGATACAAGCATTTAAGAGCTACAAATGAGACGACCATTGTCATATTTTGCTATGCCGTGAGACTTGGCATGGACCCCTCAGGCAGGTGTTTCAAATGCCTGCGATACTGCAAATGCAAAAAGCCAGAATGACATTTAAACAACCAGTTAGAAATCTGAGATCTCAACAAACCAGAACATTACAATATCAAAGGGTATTACTCTAAGCACATCACCACACTGTCATTTCTAGAAGGGACTTGCACCCCTGATCTCAGAACTCCTATTAATGCTAAAGAAACAAGTTAAATTAGGATAGTAACACTTGCCTAGCTGGGACTATTAAGAAGTTTCAGCATATTGAGTGAATGTAAATACTTATAAGACGAGCAAATTAAAGGGAGGATATTGTATTCTATTACCATTTCCTTCAAGCAGTAAGACCTTTTTGTAATACGCGTTAAGCATCGTAATTAAAGTTTAGTTAGTTATACCCAAGTACAATAAAAGATTAAAAATCCTAGAACACTATTTACATATCTGGTAAGACAACTACACTTAGCAAGTTAAAAGTCTAATCCATTGTCAAATGAGATTCTGACATTCAGACCAGCTTAAGACTTGCTCCTGACTTTTGCTACCCATTATTTTATGGTTATACAAGAAACAATAGGGTTCTGAGCAGTAACACAATCAGTGTTTAATGAAAAGGTGCCCCTACTCTTTCTTCCATACTGAGCTGCTCTTCCCAGTAGACCCCTGGATCACTGTAAGCAGAGTTCTTAACCAAATCAACTTCTTCACACATCGATGATTGTATCCTACTTGGGAGGTGGGGGTGAAAATGAAGGTAATTACCTTTAAGATGAGTCAAGACAGCTGTATCCCGGAAGACATTTTTAAACCCTAAACTGCACACAGCCTAGGAAGTGTGCAGAACTAAGAACTTCTCTTGCTATGTTGACAAGAACTGTAGTTAAGATTTTAAGAGGTTTAGGATCCACTGTATTACCTTTGAAAAACATAACTATTCAGTTTTACATGGAGCTTACTTTGTACCTTTTCTGTATACTCAAACCTCATAGTAAGTGTTAGTATAGCTGTTGTGGCTGTCCTCAGCATATTTAGGCACATTCCCAGGCATTGCAATGGGCATATGTAATAAAAGACTGAAGGAGAATGCTGTTGTAACAGTTCTGTAGGAGGGAATACCTGCTCGCTAGGAATTTGCTTCGCCACACATCACATTGTATAGACATGCGCTCTAATTGTTCAGACAACTGAGACATATTCCGGCCCAGGACTTCATTTTCTAGGATTAGCTGATTTTTCTCACGAGCCATCCGTTCAAAGTGATACTCCAGATCATCCCCAACAGAAGCAACAAGTAATTTCTTCAGCTCCCGATTCACCTAGAATTAGACCAGACTGTCTTGTAATTACCAGCATAGAATGAAACACCTCCTACTTCCAGAATGCAGTGCAAGTTATTGCAAATATCTAATAAATTGCCCTTCTCTTTCTAGACTGGGACAAGTCCAATGCAGAGTATATTAAGCCTCACAATCCACTCCAGTGAGCATAAACATTCGAGACTAATGCACATTTAACACATTCTTGTTTAAATTCTAATGGAGACCAAAGAGGAAGAATGAAAGCCAGCTACAAGAAACAAAGAAAGTTTCAGTAGTATTCAAGTCCTGAATCAGTAAGATAACAAAGGATTACACTAGACATCCACAGATTATATTATGTAGAAAATTACAGTCACCCCTTCTATGGCATAAAATTTTTCACTTAGCGGTTGAGGAGAAAATCTTTCCCTGTGAAAGATCCATTTCCCTGCAGCCCTCTCATGTGTTTCTCCCAGCTTCAAGCCTTTGATTCTTTCATCTGTTATCAGAGAAGCAGCACTGGATTACTTAGATGTACTTCTACTCTGTGTCTTAGCTGGTAAGTTCAAAAGGGAAACTATCTGTTTCAAGGCTAGAGTGTCACAGTAGTTCTCTTTCGTCACATTCACAAACTGCTTATATAAACCAAAGCAGCTCAGCTGTTTGAGAGAAAGTACCTTTCATTTCTTACCTCTGTCTGTATACGCAGCTGGTTAGAGAGACCTTCTTTATCCTGTAACAACCGCTTTTCTGAATTCTTTAGCTTTTCGATTGCATTTTTCAGCTCTAGCTGTTCTTTCTTGGGATCTGCAGCTCCATCTGACTGATGGAACGTGTCTCCTTTATGTCCCACTGATTTAGCTACCTTAGCATTTCTAGTTGGAACAACATGGGTGATAGCTGCTTTGGGGACTAATATACGAATAGCTTCAATCTCCACTGATTTATCAGCATGTACTTTCCCTAGCTGCAGAACTCCGGGACTCAGGGAAGAGACTGCCTTTTTAGGTGGGCTGTGGTGGATGTGATGGTTCGTAGTGTTGGCTCCAGTGATTACTTCCACCGATTCAGCTGTCTGCTCTGTTTCCATGCCATCTCCAGGTCCTCGGATGGGTGACGAGGCATCATCAACTAAAATTTAGAAATAGCGGAGGGAAAGTTTACCACCTTTCACTTTGTTATAGTCTCACTGTAACTCTTCACTTAATTTCCGTACTTCAAAGTCACCAATTTTAATTGCACACTGCATGTGTAAAATAGTCCTTTTCTAACTTGTGCTTTGTAATTGCTGCTGCTGCAAAGTCCTTACTCAAACGTGTGTTGCTCATTAATACCAGTAGTACAAGACACAGACATTGATTTGAATTGTATTAATCTTAATTTCCTGCTGCCATACAACATGAGATGCAGACATGAAGAAGAGCTAGTAAGGAGAAAATTCTTGACAGTATTACTCATAGGTTGAAAGCAAAATCAGGTTTTGGGAGCTGACAGAATCGGAGCAGTCTCATTTTAAAAGCAAGAATTAAATTAAAAGCTGCTATTTGCTACATAGCTACTAACACCTTAAGAAGTTTAGCAGACTTTTAACTAATATCTACCATGTGTTTTAGTTGTCCAAGTGAAGGTTTAAGAAAAGCCAACAAGCCAGTTCGGCTTCATTTCTAACCAACAGACCCCAGTATTCCCAGCAATGCTGCATTCTGCTCTGAATTCCTCAATATGCATGATAACGTATTCATTTTATTTAAGTTCACTAAGTTTTCAGCTGAATGAAATATTATTGTAGTAGTTTCCTCACAACGGGCGAAGGCAAGAAAGTTTCTTAGAACATAGCTACACATACTGCTTTTATCCTCATACTGCGGGCAGTTAACATGAGTGTGCATCCTCTATCCAAATAATGAATTTCAAAAACGCTGTAGTAGCACCATTATATTGCCCTGCTTTCAAGTTGGCTGAATCAGTACCAACAGGTTCTAAATACTGGAGGAGAACTGACAGACAAGTGTATAGACAGATGACAGTACCAGTGACAAACTTGTTTTTCAATACAAAGCTGGATTAGAAAACTACATTCAGTTAACTTCCATCCAGGCAGCTCTGGTTTTTGCTGCAATAATGAAGTCACATAACTACTTCCTAATAGCTACATAAAAAGTGTATGTTTAAATGAATGGAGCCTGGCATACGGTGTAACTCCAGTCTTTTGAATTCAAGTTAAAGTACTTTTAATCCAGTCTGTTTAGGTATCGTGTGAATCACCTACCTTTTTCTAGAGATGTCATTTTCTCTTTAGCAGTCAGCTCTTCCTAACTACATAAGACTGAGGAGGAAATGAGGAGGGGGAAAAAAAAAAAGTCTTTAGCAAGGTAACAGTGACAGTTAATCTTGGATTACCCTATTTTCTAGTACAACCTCTAAACTCCAGTTCAATAGCACAGTGAAAAAACCCACACCAAAACAAAGGAAAAAACCCCAAATGATAAAAACCACACCAGGACCCAAAGAGTTAAAAGGAGAAGGCCTATGAGACTTCTGGCTCTTGTTTCTTTTTTCACTAAGAGCTAGACTTCAATTCCCGTCTCTTGCTCATCCAGTTCCAGTTTTCATCCCTCAAATTTCTCTTTCCAGTCTCCCTCCTGTTTCCAGTGAGTCTCCATCTTACCCTTTAAAACTTTATAACACTCCCAGACTACAGCTGCATGACCATGCACAGATAACCTAAGATCATCACAGAACCACAAGAAAGGGAAATCCCACACTGTGCTTAAAGCAGACCAAGAGGTGAGGAGGGAATGATGGCAATTTTTTTACAACTTTTTTTAACAGAGCCAATTCCCAGCCAAAGCAGGACTCAGTGCCCTGAGTGGCTGCACATGCTTAGTTTAAGCCAACAGTAAAACTTTACCCCCAGTTTGGCCCAAACTGCCATCCTGGCCATTTTCTCCCTTATCCATGAACTCTGTCAACCATTGCCTCCTCTATCCACAGGTCCATCTGCTCCCAACTCCCCAGGCCACTCACCTCCCTTTTCTAGGGTCGGCCACTAACTACGTTAGTTTGAGATTACTATATCTTGCTGGTTTGGTTTTTTTTTTTTGCTTTAGTTCTCCCTGTTATTCAAGGGAGATCTCCCAAAGTCCTTGCTTCCTTTCATTATACCACTAACTGAAAAGGCTTAGCTACAACTTTTTGACTTCCACTGCTACAGCTCTCTGCCCTGAAAAGATAATGGTAGCAGTGAATGCGCTACTGCTAGCTTTCAAGACTCATGATTTGCTTTGTAAGAGGTAGGTTTATATTTTGTGATGACTACAAGACAAGAGAAACTACTTTGCCTCCTTGAGTTTTCTCAAATACAGATACAGGAACATCTTGCTATCTGTTGCTTCTACAGCCAGAGTTATGTTTTTGCTCATTTAAGACCATGATGCACTAATCACCACTACTATTCGTTCATTTTTGACTGAGGATCTCTACTCATTTGAGGAGAACGAGGAGGATGAAAATGTAGCTGCTCAGATAGAGGCAAGAATACTCAATAAAAAAATGATTATGAGCATTTGGTCTTATCCACTTCATCTGAGACCACCTGCTAATGATCCTGCCTCTTCACTGTTCATGTTATAATACTGTTCTTTCTGTCCTGTTACTTTCAAAGTCTCAATGTAAGACTCTGCAAACCCCCACCCCCCCTTGTATTACACCCCATACGCAAAACTCCTTCACTGGTTGAATCGTTAACCACTGCACCTCTCAGCTAGCGTCGTGCCCTGTAGAACCCCACACCTGACAAACAACGCAAGGAAATCCTGCATTAACACGGCTGAGTCACGATCCACGAGGGCCTCGGAAAACCACCATCGATCCAGCCCCGGTCACCCAGCCCCCGCCGCGCCTCGGCGACCAGGGGCGAGGAGGTGCCCGCTCTCACCTCAGCCCCGCAGCTTGCCGGTAAGCGAAAGCTGGACGTTACCCACCGCCCTGGAAAAGAGATCT